ACTCACAAATGTACATAGGGGCACAACACAGACCGAGCAAGTCGCACTGATACCCCCCCCCCCATTTTCCCTACCCCAACAATCTGAAGCAAGTACAATATAACGCGGCATCACAGTGTTGGTGGTTCCGCATATTGACTCCATACTGTGATGCCATTACATTGAACAGTGGCATAAATGGGCACTAAAACACGTTTTGTAATTATTCTGCCATGCATTGGTGTCTATGTCGCCACATTTGACTACTTTCACCGCAGACCGTACTTTCTATCGAAGTGTCAACTGACATCAGCTTATCGGTGTGAGGGCGCATATCAAACCCCGACGCTATGCCTGCGAATATTCACAATATTCCACTAAAGTTGATCTCGAACGTCGTCAATAACTAAAAGCAGACGTTATGATCAGATTAAGTGACGTCACTGTTTGTTGCTTTGTTAATTTGAATCAAAATTGTCACTTAGTTACCAATTACCTTAACCCGGCACGTGATACTAATCACTCACAATCAGTTCTTTGACCAATTATTTCAAATTGAATCAAGATGTGACATCGAAGTGTAATACGTTACGTTTTGCAGTCAACGTGTTTTCTCAAACCGACATCAACGCCGCCCCCTCTCCTTATGTTGTAAAATATTTCTATTATTTTTAAAAATAACAATTGTCCTCATATCGCCAAAACCGATTCCGCCGTCGATATCCCGAGCACGGACGAATCATATTTAAGGTAGTTCGCGGGTAATAGAACGGATATTTTAATTCGATAGAACGGAAAAGTTGTAATTCGATATATTTACAGAAACGGCTTTCCCGGACGACTCCCAACAGCATATAAGCTTGTTTATAATATTTCGACTAAATTGGGCGTTTATGCAAGTACTGTTTTAATTTGTTAAATTGACCAGCACAAATCCGTTTCATACAGCATGGAGAGTGGGATGGGAGAACTATTGATTCATTGATAGTGAATTTTTTATCCAATCCGTTTCATTTTAACGGTTAACTGGAAATATTATTTGTCAACAATGTCACACACGTAATTACAATTCGTTGTATACGTAGTGGTCATACTCTTAGCGCAATGGTACATGTCACTTACTGCCACTTACGGCCAGTTATTCCCAACATCACTTTCAATTCTACATGATGTCCATCAAAAATTTAGTATATCATCTGTCGGTCATGCTTTCGTTTCCGACTTGTTACGTGTCTGTGCGTCTTTGACAGAATACGTGAAACTTAAAGCTTTACTGGTGTTTTAAAATATGAGTTGTTCTCAGTTTCACATTTTCTGGGCTATAAACCATTACCCGTCATGGTATACCTCGAAATTGGTCACATGGGGTATGTTGGTCACATGGTTTATGTTTGGCCAATCATAAATGCAGTCTCAACATGTTAATAAACTCTATACGCGGAATCTGTGCTAGAAATTAGTATAAAACTATTCTCTGACTAGATTCTAACGTTGCTATTTTAAGGGTATTTTTCATATCACGCACACAATGATAAAGCATCTAATAATAAACCTGTCTATAAAAACTAAGATTTTAAAAATAATTCATAACAGCAAAACGTACCCTGCCAATCACTTAATGTATACTATATTCAGCTGTGTCATTTATAATATTTTATATCCACAAAAACAACGAATTTATGAGTTAAACTCGGGTCTAATTGATAAATTTCCAATCAAAATTTAGAAAAAATGTGAAATAATTATATGGGTTCAATTGGGTGGAAGATGACCTTTGACGGCAATGGTCAGAGATTAACGAAACAAGCCTTGCTTTGAGCCTGTAAGGACTGTAAGTGAGGTAATTGTTGTGGCATGGCGGTTACAGGTTTGAAGTGTTTTACCCTTATAATGTTTATATAGCATACTTTTATAATGTAATAAATATTTTCGCTGTCGCACATAAACCCATAAAAATCACGAACAATAGTGAAATATCCATATTTCTTGATTTAATAGTCAAAATTATATTCTTAATGGCGGCTGAATCAGTTTTCTACGAAAATATATTATAATATTTAGTTCTACTATTAATATTAAATATTTGCACTTAATGTTATGCACAATTGTAAGGCACACTGTGTAAAGTTCCCATGTCTGAATACAAAGTAATGAGTTCAATATAAGTGGAAATTCTGTAGCAACGTAAACATTGTCAATAACTTAAATCTCGAATATAATATACTTAAATGGTTTGCCGTGGTTCTCCGGGGATAATTCCAACGAGGCGACTCGAGACGGCTTGCATATATTCCAACAAGCTGAGTACTACTTGTCAGATCATTTACATATATTGCAGATGAAGTTCACAACTGTGTACAAAACATTCACCATGAGGGTTGAGACATTTCTTCAAAACGAACATAACATAACATAATATAATATAACAAGAAATATATATATAATTTTGCGATAATAATGTGACACACCACGATAGCAATGCGGTGATGCAATTATATGGTATTTCAAGTTGATAAACGGCATATAAATATACAGCAAATTGCAAGTAATATTTTTTTAAATATTAATATGATAATAATACTTGTAGAGTTGTAGAATTGTAAATCTTTTCAGATTCCATGTACGTGAAAATAAGCATTGTCCACACAAGCTATTTTATTGCTACTGTTACACCTTCTTACTCCTTTCTGTGATTAACTTATCAGGTTTGCTGGCGCCGACTGTTTTAATGGTGCTACTCAAAGTCTGGGTTTTGAATTCACCCCAATTCATATAATCCTGCAAACTATTCTGAAGTTCATCGTCTTGGGGGAAAGGTCGAACCTGTAAAATGAGATA